TTAGTTCGTGAAACCGAAAAAGCTGCGAAACTGTAAATTTTCGTTTTCACGAAGTAACACTCTTCAATGTATTTAACACGAGGAAAGTGCAATTTCAGGTCAGCGCGCGCGCGCTCATCATACAACTTGTTACAAGAAGAGTGTTACTTCGTGAAAACGTTTTTGCTCACTTATGAGCAGAGTGCGCGCCATGCATTGCAATGGAAAATGGAACTTGATGTTACTTCGTGAAAACGAACATTGTCACTTTTGCGCAAAAGTTGCCATGGATACTTAGCGTAATTATTAAAGTAAAGCTTTTGAAGCTTTGAAACTTCGTGCAATGGTAGGCCTTGATGAATAATGTTTAAAAATCCAAAAAACTGAAAATCGAAAAAACTAGGCTTTAACACGGTAGAGTGTTACTTCGTGGTGTCGGTGACGAGATATCGACCCTCATTCTAAGTGGTGCATATTACTCTGACGTCATTATGACGTCATCGGGTGTCAAATTACAAGCGATTTTCGTTAAAAAAAATGACGATCTTCTGTCACCTATAACTCTTGAACAGAATGATCAATCATGTTCCAACCTTGTAATCAGATAGACCATTATTTGATAAACATTTTATGTCACGTACGTGAACTAGCTTGATCTTGTCTTCCGGTTCTACCGGAAGGTCAAATTTAGGTGAATTCAAAATGAAGACATTAGCCTGAAATCAAAACAAAGCACCGTTTCTTCCAAACGGTTTACGGTATGATCCTAAAACCTAGTGTGAACTTGTACCATGTTACGAAGATGTTATAAATTTTGTAACGTCATCATGACGTCATCAGGTATCAAATTACAAGCGATTCAAGGGCAAATTTTGACAAAATAGTTGGCGCTATATCTTTTGAAGTAAATAGAGAATCGTGTTCGTTTTTTCCTGTGGTTGAAGACTATGCCGTGAGAAACATGTCTTGTTCCCGGACACAAAACCGCTTGACCTTCACTTCCGGTGTTACCGGAAGTGCAATGAAAACTTAATATAACGCAAAAGCGGAAGCATTTTTAATACAGACATATATATTATGCAAGTGTTTAGTGAGAAGTGCAAGTCCTAACAGTGTGATGACGTCATCATCCGAAAGGGAATAATAATTTATTGTGATAGAAAGGATTTAATTTCGTGATCCTTTGTTGATACATAAAGATATTCATAACTTAACTCGGCAGTGTTTCATGAACAAATTGCCTCCCGACCATTCTGCGTTACTATGCCGTGCGAAACATTTCTTGTCCCCGGACACAAAACCGCTTGACCTCCACTTCCGGTGTTACCGGAAGTGCAATCAAAACTGAATGTAACTCAAAACGGAAGCATTTTACTACACACATATAAATTATGAAAGTGTTTAGTGAGGAATGCCAGTCACAAAAAAAAGTGTGATGACGTCATCTTTCAAAAGGGCGCCCCCTAGCGGCACATAAAATAGTGTTTGCTTTCTTTAATTTGAAAACCATCCGTTCAAATTTTACAAAATTGCCCCTTGATATTCTCTGATTAACCACAGGTAAATTGGCAAGGTTTCAAATTCATGACGTCATCAGACCGGAAGTTACTTTTAGGAGAATTTGAAAAGGATCCTATTTTAAATTAAATTCTATCATTTGATCCCTGTCGTATCTTCGTAGTCCAAAGAATGATATCCATTACAATGTTCACCTTTGGATCTCTAATGCTGTGACGTCATCAAACCGCAAGTAAGGTGTTATTAATACGTCATCAAACCGGAAGTTAGGTGTTATTACAAACAATTATATTTCCCATATTTTCATACGTTATTTTAACGTCACAATCAAAATGTATCCTCTCCGAAGTTTATCAGTATACCATTTTTCACAGATGACGTCATCAAACCAGAAATAACGTTTTTGCGGGTATACAATGTTTACTGAAATTTATCACACCTTTAAAGATACATTTTTGTAACAAAATAATTTATTGTACTGGAGGGTTTTAATTTCGTGATCCTTCGTTCCACTAACTTAACTGGGCAGTGTATAATGAAAAGGCTGTCTGCCCAACCACTCTGCGTTTGTAACTCAACAAAGGCGAACCTCTAGTTATAGGTTTTTTGGTATATTATTATAGTATATAGAATTTTTTTAATGGTATTCATTCCTTCTATTGGTTATTCACATTGTTAATTAAGCTTTTGTTAGTCATAAGTTCAATTTAGTGTTTGATATATTTGCAAATGTACAATATTGCAAATGGGGGCAGTATCATAAGTCCGACGCCTCATAGGTCCGACGTCTCATAAGTCCGAAATTTCGGACTTATGAGGCGTCGGACTTATGAGGCATAACATTTATTTATTCCGCCTCATAGGTCCGACGCCTCATAAGTCCGACGTCGGAAAAACGAGGCGTTTAATTTGTCGAGGCGTCGGAGCTATGAGGCGTCGGACTTATGAGGCGTTGGACCTATGAGGCGTCTGACTTATGGGCCTTTATTTGGTTAGGGGATGCGATTTTACCGAACTTATGAGGCGTCTCGGACCTATGAGGCGTCGGTATTATGAGCGGACAATTAAGTATGTATGTATAGTATTATATGTTTATATATAAGCAAATTTCCGCATGCTTATTGTGGACAATAAATTATCATATATCATATACGCGTCAAAAACGGGTTTTGCGTTTCACGAAGTCACACAAAATGTCACGTGATATGCACGACTCACTTCTGGCGTTTTCTCGAAGTAACGCTAAGCCTATAGCTTATACACTCGGGTGCTAGCGTCACTTCGTGAAAACTCGAACACATGCAGCGTTATCTGATTTTTGTAGTTTTCACGAAGTGGACTTATCATTGGTTACTTTTGATAACTCATTGAGAGAGTCTTTTTTTGTTCAATACAAACCATACATTAACGTGTCAATCAAGATCCCCTCTTTCAGACAATGCAGCAAAATCATAGGCGTAGCCAACCGGGGGGGGGGCAGTGGCGTCACCAGACTTTTCAGTCTGGGGGGGCACAGGGGGGGGGCACCAGCATTTGATGGGGGGGGGGGGGCACTTAGGTGGATACGGATCGCCGTCCTGGGGAAGGGGTCTAAGGGGAGGGGGTGGAAAATTTTCGCATACGGAGGATGGGCTTGATGCAAAATGGTGCCACATTTGATGCTAAATTCGATCTGAAGATATCTCAAGAAATTGCTATTTTTGAGGTAATGATTTTTACAACGCGCAGAATTTTGCAGAGGATAGGGGGGCACCAGCATTTGATGGGGGGGCACTCGGGGGGGGCACTAGGTTTTCCAGGGGGGGGGGACGTGCCTCCCCCTGGCCCCCCCCCCCCTTGGCGACGCCACTGGGGGGGGGGGGGCCCTAATACTTTGTAAAGACTGTCTCTTTCTCTATTCAAATTCCCTTTTTTTCACCAGCGCTTACCCCCCCCCCCCTATTTTGTAAAGAGTGCCCGTCTTTAAACAAGTGCCTTTTTTTCCGAACAAGTGCCATTTTAAAAAAGAACTTGCTCCCTTTTTTGTCCCATCGGCCGTACTGGGTGCCCTTTTCTTTTTAATTTCGCGCATGTATCTCTCTGAAAAGCACCATTGTTGTCCGTTAGTGTGCATAATCATCGGCTTTGAACAGCGCCCCCATCGACAGATGGTACTAGCCTGCCCCTTCTCCCCCCCCCCCCCTTGATTTAACGGAGGCAAAGTGTCCGGAGAAAAAAATGGATGTATGGATGTGCAAGTGCCCTTCTCAAGAAATGTTTATCCCCCAAATAAAAATGAGTGCGGGATTAAGGTTACTTCGTGGTGACGGTGAGTTTACATGCATTATTGTCCAAACAATAACTTCACTGATCAAATACTGAATAAAAGTGTCATAAAAGCATTTAATAGTCACACATACAATAAGTTACAAAGTTAGTCATTTGAGATTTTCCCGTTGTTTTAAAACTTGGTTGAGATTACTTCTAATGTGTGTGGCACTATGAGGAAGAAAAATATTCTTTTATTATAGGTTTTCCCGGCCAATTTCCTAAAATGTTCACTCACTTCTGAAAATCTGTCATTCATTTTCGTATGAATTTGAGAATCGCTCTGAACACGCGTTTAATTTTCGCTACCAGAACATTCGATTCCATTTCAGTTCAATCAATACGTGATTGAGCAGCACCTTTCGTTTATGTCCATGCAGATTCGTTTACAAGACATCTGTGTCGCATTTAAAGGGCGATTTCAAACATTTACCATTCTATTTCACTTTTAGTTTAACCTTGCGCAGCGTTTACAAAAAAACTTTACAACAACTCGTCAACTGCTGCCCTTTGGGCAGCAGGTACTTTCCCGCACTACGCAAGACCCCATTCATAGCAATACAACAAAAAGCCACGTGCCAGACAGTGTCCAGACAGTTGCCAGACAGTGCGCTGGAAAGATAATTGACTGGCGGCTGTGGTATGCAGTTATGAAGGGAGATGACAGTGTCAAGTTACAGCTCTTTGTTGATGTTACAATGAGACTTGGCAGGAGGCCTGGTCGAAAGTTGACACGGCCTGGGTGTAGCCCTGGCTGCAAAGTTCATTGAACCAGCTTATTTGGCAAGGGTCGAATGAGGATTAGATGGAAGGTGACCGTCATTGGCCCTCAGTTTATTTATTTTTCCAAAAAATTCGGTTACCTGGGGCCCAAAGGGCAGCAGGTCACTCTGCGCAAGGTTGCATTTTGGCACCAGATACAATTAGGGGTTTTCATTTTTTCATTAACCGTCAATCAAATTAGCTGTACCTGAAATCAATTTAGAAAAGGTATGCTTGCGTTAATGAATGCACAGGTAACGGAATTGGCCGTCTGTTTCTCAAAACCGAATGCACGGACAATGAAAACGATTGAACTGTCGTTGAATTGAAACCGATTTTCAGAAGTGAATGAACGTTTCGGGAAATTGGTCAGGAAAACCTAAATTCCAGAAACACAGTTAATTCGAATGAAACATTTTTGGTACCATTTGATATGAAAGTGGAATTCCTGAACTTAAATTTTGACATTAATCAGACATGATACCTATAAAAAATGTTCTGACTGCAACTAAATACAGATGTTTTTACTTAATACCAGCAATTTGTCATGACGTAACTCATTTTTAAAAACTAATAGTTATGAATAGGGCCTTGGATTTGGCCTTCCCATCGAGGGTCAAGCCTTGGCCTTGAGGGCCATAGCTTTGGCTATTGGTATTGAGGGTCGAAACCTTTGCTATTAGCCTTAAGGGTCAAAGCCTTGGCCTTGCCGGTCAAAGCCTTGGAGTTGGCCTTGTACATTATGACTGAGCCTTTGCTCCAAAATTTTCTTGAGCAGGGCTTGAGAGCAAAACATCAAGGGTTGCAGAAATCGAATAATAAGGAGTAGTTGACTAAATACTTCAGACCCGTGTATATATATATATATTACAATGCATAAACTATCTGTACTTAGAACACGACATCGACCTTGACATTAGGGATGTATTATAATATTTACAGTACTGTTTTCGGAGTTAACGCGGATAATCATCTGGGTTTATATATATATATTTTTATATTTCTTTGCACAAAAAACGCTTACTCTTCTTTGAACCTTTCAGTACAATCGAATTACTTGCCATACAATAACATAACTCAATAAACAACTAAAGACTATTACTAACATTTTGCTTCAATTTCATTCACACATTTTAAACAATATCTGTGTCTTGGAACATAAATTTGGATTGACTTCACTATAAACAAAGATCTTTTAGCGCACTTATGATATGCAATACATTAATATACAATTACGCAATTGTTAAAAATACGGATGCATGGATTGAGCCTGCTAACTATTGCTATTGTATAAGTCTACAATTACAAGTATAACTGAGAAATAATGACCCCATTCAAAATCCACAATTAACAGTCTTTTGAACTTAAAAAAAAAATGAATTCATCTGAGCAATAAAGTAATAAAGCTATATACATGTAGGCCCTACCATTCCTTTAGTATGGCATGTGTTTATGTGCACGGGCTTAGGTCTGGATTGACCTCGACGTGCCTGTCTGGTGCCAACAAAAAAGCGCCAAAATAGCTGGTCTGTGCGATGCTATCCTGGTAGTCAAGTGGCACACTTTGGCCCGGTAGAGGGCGTACACCAAGCCTATCATTTGCTGCCAGATAAAATACGCCTCCTGCGTAGCCTGTGTTCTCAAGATCGGGCTCAACAGCATCCGTTCTGCAGATAAGTATACATAGAAAACTTGAAGGTTAATGCTTTGGCAATTAATAATTTCGTAGGCCCATGATGTCATTGTAGAGAGAATTATTCGGCGGAATGGAAAGGGCGCCAAACAATGTCTGGTTCATATTTCGTGCAAATTTGAAGGAAATGTGATGTCCTATGTATCATTACTTTGTTGCGATTTCGCTGGAATCGAAATGTGTAATTTGAGTAAATTGGCAGCGCGACTTTCCCTGCGCAAGCGATCACCGTCCCACTGAAAATGAAAACTGACGAAATGTCAGTGTTTTGATGAGACAACGTAAAGAAAGGCAAGCGAAAGTTAGGTTCATGATTCTGCTGTTAATTTTTGTACCTTCGATACATTCCCTTCCAAAATCCCATTTTGCAACAGCATGCACGCATGCGGGCTATTGAGAAACTGCGTATAAATTTAATTTTCCAGAACTCCACTGAAATAGAAGGGTCTTTGACTATCTTTGCAAGTAAGTTTAATCTTTCGGGCTTCCCTGCTTATGTACTGACCATCATACCACATAACGAGAAATGGATATAAATTAAGCTCTTTTGCGGAGAAAACCATAAATCAAGTAAATGACAAAACAGTCACTCACCTTTGTGTTGACTTGACTCGAAGAATGTGGAACCTGTCACCATTACCACAGTCGGGCGACACAGCTACATCGTGGCCATAAGTATAAGAACCATCCACTTTATAACATATCTGGCTGTACACATAGTAGTATCCTGGCGTGAGTACCTGTTTGCAATATGTAGAACAACAATAAAATGAATGAAGGTCCCCTATAATGATTTTTATGACATTCATTTGCTTACTTGGCAACATATAAATGTAAGACGTTGGTTCAGATGAACCAGACGTTGGTTCAGTGTAAAACGAGTGTCACACTGCCTCCTTTATAGTAGAACTGTTTGCTTACCATTGCAAAGACATTGTTCCATGATGCCAGTGGCGAAGCCAGGAATTTTTCGCTGGGGGGGGGGGGGGGGGGGGGGGGGGGACTGGAACATTTCATGGGGGGGGGGGGCGTCATGTAGATCAATGATAATTTTTTTAGAAACTCAAAATCTCATGGAGGGGGGGGGGGGCGACTGGGGGGCGACAAGGTTTCATGGGGGTGTGTCGCCCCCCCCCCGGCTACGGCATGATGCTGATACAAACCATTCACAATGCTAGTGTTCTTACTGATCTTATACAAGTGATTAATAATGCGAACAACATTATCGAACTAATACATCAGCAGCATAATATAACCAGAATACAGTCATGTTCATGGGAACAAAACGATGTTCAAATATTGAAAATATACAAAACTTACCTCAAAGAATTTGTTGTGGACAAATTTAAGGTTCTCGTGAGAATATTTGGAATATCCATCATTCATGCTTGTGTGGAAGGTGAACCAGTTTCCTTTAAAAAACAAAACAACGACAAAACGAAACAAAACTGTGAGGAAAAGCGTTATTGGGCCAGCGTACATTTCTTGAAGTTACATATGCACCTATTTTGTCAAAGCGCGTATACTAAGCTTACATGTATGAACCCCGTATTATAAAGCTAATGGACATGCACTGGTTGCAAAAAAAGATGTGTTTGCCGTTTTAAGGAACAAGAAATACAAAAATATCTGAAGAAGGTTCTTAATAAACAAACCTGTCGAACTTACAGCTCAGTAGATATCATACAGTGAAAACTGTGACAATACATGCTTCCGTTGAAAGCCCTCCCTCTCCAAAATGTTCATTAAAACGTTTTGACGTGCATACTACTGTGGCATGATCCCCAATTTGTCACCAGAGACATTCACTTCTCATTCACGGATATGCAAACGATTCCAAAGTTAATTGGGGCAGTATTTCGAGAGAAAAAAAATCCGAGACACCATTTGGTCTTTACTATCGCAAAGAAATTGATAAATTCCCCTTTCTCGAAAATGAGAGCATTCAAGGCGTTAGGATTTCACAGGCTGCTTGATCCTTTAACGTACAATCAAGCAGGATATTTCGTAATATTCTGTCAGTTCGAATTTTGAATGTTTGCACAGGGTGTGTCCATTAGGCCCAAACAAAAAAAATAAGTCGGTCTCTGGTCAGCGCGCGCGTCGATTTTAATCATGCGCGTCGATCTTTTTTTTTTCAAAATGTTCCGCGGTAGCTCCAACAGCGCCCTCTATTTCCGCACCTCCTCAATTTTTTTTTACCAAAGAGCACCAAGGAATGGGAAATTGCACCAAGGCAAATGATCGAAAGCACCAAGGCAAATTATGGAGGTCACCAATGTACATGAGGACACCAAAAAAGCAAAATAGTACATACCTTGTCTGTACAATCCAAGCTTGAAGAAGAAAAAAAAAGCAAAAAAAAAAAAAAAAAGCCGAGTGGCCGTCAATTCCGGAACTTTGGTCTGACCAGAGACCGAATTTTTTTTTTTTGGCCTGACCTTAGATTATCCCTAAACTAACCACACACAACACACACACAAGTGTGTATTTGCCTGCAATCGAGGACCCCCTATTGTCCCTCTTTTGTTTGTACTCATTAGGAAGACCTCCCATATGTTTGTACACGATCGCCAAATTGGGGACCCATCTTCATAAACTAAAGTTTTCGACTTATGTAAATTTTCACGTGTCTATAATAACCTAGCATATCAGCATGCAAATTTGAATACTTTTTATAAAAATAAGCTTTTTGTTTTCAAGCTTCTCTTTTTTCAAAGTAGGTTTTTTTTGCTTGTGATCTTATACTTATTACCTTTTCATAAACTGAAGTTGTCGACTAATGAAAATTGTTACGTGTCTAAAAATAACGTATATTGTTTTCATGTACACAATTGGGAAGAAGAATTTCACTTTTAAAGACTTTTAATTGTGATGAAATAAAATATGTATTGCATTGTATCTTTGTAAACACCGGAAATCGTGGACCCCCTATTGTCCCTAATCCTCATTCCTTTCTAACTTTTAGCAACAGCTCTCATTGGGGCAGTCCCCCCCCCCGGAAATTTAGCAACCAGGGAAAAGCACAGCGTATGAGTTACCATGATTAGCTGGAAGAACCTAATGTCCCTTCCGCGATTTTGTGCGTATTTTTCACCAATTAACCCTTTCTTTTCGCGACTGGATGTTTATTTTAAATGTTCGTGGAACAGAGCTCCCATGGGAAGATGGTGTCCAGCCCCCCCCCCCCCCCCCCCCCCCACACACACACACACACACTATTTGATTTTACGGAAGTCGGGTGTCTGGTGAAAAAAAAATCTGTCTATACCTTTCAGTACAGATGTAACCTTAAGCCCCCCACACCCTCTAGGATGAGAACCCTGGCTACGCCGCTGGGTTTTGTACACGAATTTCACTTGTGGACTATCGGTCAATCGTGGACCCTTGGTTTGTGCCCTGACCCTTCTGTCCCTAGTCCACGATTACCCGTGTTTACATACTCACTTAAAGGGAATATACAACATCTGTTTTTGCAGTAATTTTCAGAAATTGATGGATTTGGGGGTTGGTATTTCATAAAAAAAATATAGTTTCACTGACAAGTTTTGTGGAACAACCAAGAAAAACAACCATGTTCATGTAGTCTGGTTCCCTCCCTAACCCCACTTAAGATGAAACGGAGCAATTTATAGACTTTAGGGAATTGTAAGGGCATGGAACTAGCTAGCTGGCTTGCACCTGTTCCCAGACGTGTAACCAATTGCAAACAACATGTGAACTGAATAAATAAGGTAAATTGGGGGAAGTAGTTGGAAAACAGTCAGGTTTTTTCCAACACTGGTCGGCCGACCAGCGTTGGAAATTGATACAAAAATACCACTTTTCTTGAAAATGACAGCAAACCAGGTGCCGTGATTTTACAGGATGCTTTCGACTGTCATTCGCTAACAGTTTAGTAAGGTATTTCATACTAATTCGGTAGTTTGTTTTTTTGATGTTGCAATTGTTGTATATTCCCTTTAAAGACCTTCTACGCGTGGTTAGTAAAACAAACCACGGGTTGCCAAACTAAAAATGTACACTACTTAATATTAAAAAAATTCCAAAATGTTATTTTAATGTGAAAAATATGAAACGGTCGACAAAGCTACACAGTAATTCCTAAACATGCCGTTTTCTACGTATTAAGGGCGTTATGATGCCTTTCCTGGAAAAATATGTTGCCAACCACGAATTCACAAACAATAGAAAGGTCTATACTTAGTTCAAATTCCGTAGCGTCTAGATAGAACCTATTGTTCCATTGTGTTCCCTACCCATAAGGAACCTACATGTTCACAACCACGTGTGCATCTTCAATCGTTACTCGATTTTACAAACATGCGCCAGCACTTGCCTCATATCTTGAATACATGTCAAGATCAAGCCATTTTTTCCAGATTCAAAATGTATATGCCTTTTAGAAATACTTTATCCGGTCAAAAACAAGAATAATGCTACTGTTTTGGAAGCAAACAGGGAAGTAATGTGCACTATGATTTAACAAATGGTTAGGCTGAGAGTTGCGTTTTGTTTCCTCCAAAACGAGTTGTTCAAAGCAAATATGGCTTACCGGATGTTATTTCGGGCTGCTGAACACCGGTGACATGAAATGATGGGAAACCATCGCAACCGTAACAACCATCGCAACAATCCTGCAGCAAATTAAAAGTAAAGATGAAATTACATCGGCTGACCTATTTTCTTGGGGTGGGGCCGTGGGGAGGGGAGGGGGTGGGGTGGTGGTGGTGGCTAACCAGCAGCTGGGGATATTCGAAAAACGGGGAGGGAGGAGGGAGGAGGGAGGAGGGAGGAGGGATTAATGCTGTCGGTAATATTATAATATACTGTTCATAAATTAAATGTAAAAAAACCTTGCCATTGTTATATCGCTTGTAATTTGATGTATTATGACGTCATAATGGCATGCATGATCTGGCTTGTTCGTTCAAATGTTTATTAAAGTACAACTTACGCCATCACCGTAGCTCGAGCTCATGCCTGCAAATAAAAAAACAAACAAACAGTTTATACCTCAGTAATGGAACCACGAATTTAAGAAACTAAACTCCTATACACAAATGGGGAACAATGTAGAAACTTCGATGACGTCCTTAGAAGTGGGCGGGGTGTCTATGGTCTCTGCGCGCAAGTACCCCCTCAACGGTTAAAAAGGGAGACTTGAGATACAACATGCAGTTCTTATCGCTTGACCGATCACCGCTTATCGTATTGTTCACATACGTCTTTCTCAACCCTAAAAAGTAGATAAATTCTCAAAGAAAAAAAACCCGAGACATTTTGACAATTTCAAAAGGCCTCGTGAGAGTTACTCGAGGTATAGCCTCCGCTACTCGGTGGATTGAACTCGGTGGATTGATTTCTCAGTTAATACATTTACTGAGAAATCAATCCACCGAGTTCAATCCACCGAGTAGGCCTAAAGGTCACGATGACTTTGTCGAAAGGCTAGTCAAGTAAAACAAAACATCGCACAAGATCTACAAGGCGAGTCCAAAAAAAACCCCGGTACCTCCAAAAACCCCAAAATAATAGCGATTGGAAAGCCAAGTTTAAAAGCTACTTTTAGATAAAAAAAAAAATCTGAAATTGCTCAATCCGTTCAAAGAATATCACCATTTTAACGCAATGACCCTAAAAAACCTGTCTCGTCCAAAAAAAACCTATTTATTGTGTGTTTTGCTGCTTGGAACAAAGAAAATGACACAGAATATTTGTTTCATCAATTATCACCAACTGTACACACAATATCTGTATTAACAACCTTGGTTAGGCAAACAATATGATTTATAAAATCTACTTTTTTTTTTTTAAAAGACGGGCCTTCAGAAGGACTTTGTTGAATAGTTTTAACGTTTGCAGTTTATTGCTGAGATTTTATTGCTGGTGATGTTTAAAGACAATTGTGACAACGATTCTTGAAATCTTTATTTTTTAAACGAGACAGGTTTAGGGTCATTGTATTTAAATGATGATATTGTTTGAAAGGATTGACCAATTTCAGTAATTTCTTTTTCATCTAAAAGTAGCTATTGAAATTGGCTTTCCATTCATCATTATTATTTTGGTGCTCAAATTTTTTTCAAATATGAAATATAATTTTGGGGTTTGGGTACTGCTTTTTTTTATTTTACTCGCCCTGTAGTATATACTATGGGGAATGTTATTCTGCCACTTCCTAAAACCAAATCTGGCAGGAAAACTTTCCAATATCGGGTTGTCCAAGCCTGGAATAACCTGCCAGCTAGGGTAAAAGATCCATTTCCCACAACTGTCCGGACCATTATCAACCATTTTGACTCCGAACTAGCTGGGCTATTGATGATTTGTTTAATTGATTTTCTTTAATTTTGATCATCAAATATGCAATAGTGATGTCTGAGGGGTTGAATAATGTGCCTTTTGTTGGGCACTAGCTGTTAGATGAGTTGACTTTTAATGTTTATGTTTATTTGTTAGGTGCAATTTCTAACGCTAAATTTAAGCAACTTTTATGATCTTCGTTTTTAAAATAACGTTTGTTTCATACTGTGCAATGTGAATATATAATACATACATGTACATGTACTTAGAATTTGATTTTATCAATTTTATTATTCAAATCATGTTTTATTGTATTATTACTCCTACTGGGACCCATGGGAGATCAGTTCTGATAAAAGGACTGAATGGGCCGCCCAGTATAAAGAAGAAATAAATACATAAACGGAGAGGGGGATGTTGTTAACACTCTAAGCTCGATGTGCGCAATAATTATGTTATACGATGATTGTCCCATTGCTCACATTAGGGGAGTCAGGTTGGTGTTGCAGTACTTTCCTCACCGCTGTGACCAGGAGTTCGAATCCCGCCTGGGCCAAAATGTGGATTGGGTTTTGTGTCCCCGTCTGATTCCGTGGGATTTCCCCACAATATTCTTCTGGGCCTTTCCCACCTCTAAAACTGTTATTTCTTCTCATTGTCTCGTGTCTACAGGTTTCTTTAGGCTTGCGAGCTACAGTGCATAGGGAGCTTTGAGGAATCCTTGGTTTCATAATCGGAAATATCTCGGAAGCTGCGGGCCAACGAATTCGTGTTCATGCATGAGTCACTTGATTGTGTCATGTAATTTTGGAAGGAGTAGTGTTCTGAGAAAAAAAAAATCAGGTTTTTGACCCTAGTGACCCCGTGATTACCTTTGACCCCAGTTTGGTCACATGACATGTTGGGGCTGCGCAACTGATACTTTTGACTAAGTTTGATTGAAATCGGTAAAAATATGTAGGAGCAATAGACAATGTCAACGTTTGTTACTAACCAGTGGCGTAGCCTAGGGGGGGGGGGGGGGGCTTCAGCCCCCCATGAAACCTTCAAGTCGCCCCCCAGTCGCCCCCCACTGAGATTTTGAGTTTCTTAAAAAAATTATCATTGATCTACATGACGCCCCAATGAAATGTTCCAGCCCCCCAGCGCCCCCCCCCCCCCCACTGAAAAATTCATGGCTACGCCACTGTTACTAACTAACTAACTAACTAACTAACTAACTAACGAAGAAACATGATGATTTGTTGAGCTGCTATCCCGCAGCTATTAAAAGAACTTATCGCAAAAGGATGTCAACATGAGTGGTAAACGTAGAGGATTGGGTTTAAATCGCAGCCCTTTTTGGTTGACAGATATTCTATGCAACGAAGAAATTCTGAGGGTTGTAACCCAAAGAGATAATACAGACTTACCCTGTGAATTCCCGTAGCCGGTTTGACGTCTGATCCGAGACCCTTCGCCAATATCGTGGGGTTTCGTCTGTTATAAGTAAACAAGTGATTATATACACAAAATCACACTAAATACAAATGAAACATTACGTGCAGATTACGATTATCGTAATGAGATCGCCCTACAGGTAATCCCCTGGATGAATGAAGCTGCAGTGTCCCTCCTGGGTCCATACATTAAAGAAACTGGTTTTTGTTTTGTGGGGTGGGAACCAGGCTTCCCCACGAGAATGGAATTATTGTCTGACAGCCAAAAATTCGAAATAGTAAAGTAATAACAAAAACATTGATAACTCCTTCAAAAGTGAATAAGTTTTGTAGTGCTATACAAACCTTTAAAAAATGGGGCAAAAAGGACTTTTTTCGAGATGAAACTCTAAACTAGCACGGGGAAAGCAACTTGAACCGTTTTCAAATATCCAGGCTTTTTTCTGACATCTAAACGTCGGTTTACGCTCGGCGGTAAAGCGAACGCGAACAGGAATACGTTAGGATTAGGGGAGCTAGCCTATATACGACGGGCCTTCAAAAGGACTTTGTTGAATATGTTTAACTTTTAAACTGAGGTTTTATCGCTGGTAATATTTGAAGACAATCGTGACGACTATTCTTGAAATCGCATTTTTGGACGAAAGAGGTTTTAGGTTCATTGTGTTTAAATGGTGATATACCTTGAACAGATCAATCAATTTAAGTATTTGTTTTTTAATCTAAAAGTAGTTTATGAAGTTTATGAAATGGACTTTCCAGTCATCATACTTTGGTGCTGCATATTTTGTTGAAATATGAAATATTTTTTGAGGTTTGGGTTCCGCTTTTTAAAAAAACTTACCCTGTAGTATAATAATACTATACAAAGCGTTCCACGTGCTATTTAACAAATTTCACTTTTTTTCTTTACATGAATTTCAACTTGTATTTCATATTCCAACAACATATACGTACGCCTGCGACCTTCTGATTGGTCGGTGCATTTATATCGATACTAATTGTTGGGCGGCAAACAGCCTACACCACTCGAATGGAATGACTGTCTGATGGCAGCAGTGGCGTAGCCAGAGGGGAGGGGGCACCTTGCCCTCACTGGCGGAATTTTTTTTTTTAGAGTTCTGTCATGGAAAAAGAAAGAAAACGGAGCTCCAAAACTTTTACAATGCGCCTTGAAAATTGGCATTTATCTGCCAGTATGCACGGTCTGTTTTGAAAAGTGCCCCCATTTTTGGAAGAAGGGTACCAAACGGCCCCCCCCCCACTTTTTAATTTTACGGAGGCCAAGTGTACGGAGAAAAACAACATGTCCACATAATTATTAGTGCGAATGTGCGAGTGCAGTTGCCCCCCTGACGTCAAAAGCTGGATACGCCACTGTCTGGCAGCCAATAATAAGAAAATGTAAACTTTAATTCAATATCTAAACATGGGACGATTTTGGTCAGTCGATGTCTCATTTAAAAGGCAACAAATTTTGTATTGCTACAAAAAATGCTCTTTAGAAAAGGAGTATATTTTCGGGATGAAAATCGAACTACCAGCAGCACGGGGAACGCTACTTTAATTGTGTTTTTATGAAACACTCATCTAAAGAGAAACTGATACCTGTACCGTTTAGTTTTTACTTCTATGAATTGGTTCTGTTTTTTTTTCTACGAAGTATAGGGCCGGTCGGTCAAAAAAAAATCTCAGCCGTAAAGAAGGTCATAATAATGCGTGCTCATGTAAACACGGGCACAGCAGCCTATATGAATACAGTTTAACATTATGCACAAAAAGTACCAACACTTTTATGTCCAATGTTAAAAGCATTAAATGACTATTAACTTTTTAAAAACCCATGTCAACCCGCTGGAGTAAATTTCTATTGTCGATTGACGCTGATAAGACCTCAGAAAATGGCTTAGCCTATCAGACCCTGAAAATAAAGGGGAAAATCCACACAGTCACAGAGTATAAATGGGATTTGAGGTTTGGATTGATTGAATCCGTTCTCTTCGTGTAGGGCCTGTGTCAATTGAACCTCCATGGTTAGTAAGAAATGAGGTTGGGTTTTGGAAATTGTTGTATTTTATATAAAATGGTAAAATGTTTCCTTATGCTTACCAACATTTGATGCATTGTAATATTTTGCAGCACTTGAACATTTCACTTTTTTTTACCCTAAAAACCCATACCCAAAACTATTTTTTTTTTTAGAATACAACACTGAAGTTTGGAAATACATGTAGTAGCACAATTTCCCGATTTTCCCAAAAATCTTTAAAACGCAAGGTGAAAATTTAGCAAGAAATTATGCAACTACAGACCTGCAAACTGGTCAATGCAGTTAGCGATGGTCCCCGGAAGAATTTTGACAAATGAGACGAATTTCTTCTAGGTATTGTAGTGTCTCATCCACGCAGCGTATAGCGCTATTTTTATGATCTTAATTTGCCAGAATCAAAGTAGCAAAGGGCTTAACCTAACCATGAAACTTTGTTTCTAGTTCCAGTCACAAAAACTGCCCAATATATATACTTGGAACAATTATTTAGCGTTATGCGTGAGATAATGAGTGTGCCGGCGTGAGAGCGTGTGAATTGACTCTGAGGTGTGTGACTCACGCCAAATGCGTGAGGCTTGGTAGGTCTGCATCTTTCTTACAACCCAAATCGCTCGGATATTATGTTAAATAGTCGTTTTGCTTATGTCAGTGAAAACAAATTGTTGTATATAGCTGTATTAACGCATCTCACACAAAATATCCAGTGAGTTCCGCAATTTCTCAACATATTTTCAATTTAATTATACATGGGTATAATGTAACTACTGCAAATTGAAATTCCAATGGCAATTCTAGTAGGCCTACGGATGGTTATTTTACAGGCATATCGCCTAAGCAATGGACCTAGATATTTTGTTTATGGTATAAACGAAAGGCATCTTTCAGACCAGTTCCCATAACAACCATCCCATCTAACAAAGATCACGTCTATAAAGTTTCCTTTTAATTGTGAACTTGACTACAGAATTCCATGGCGTTGGTTCCTCCGATTAGGGCTATCGGGGGTACTTATTAGAACTCAACGGGTAAATATATTCAGGTGTTCAGGCTACTCACGTGATTGATACTAATTGGGTCACTTGAGTTGCCCTCCATCATACCGGACTGGCGCAAACTGACGGTGCTGAGCTGAACTAGTTCCTTTTGAAGGTGTAGCACCTGAACCACAAGCCAAATGATTGTTGCAAACGAGACTATGTGCAGGACCAGCTGAATCAGGTGCCATGCTCCAGGATGATTTTTGGATGCAACGTCTAAATTGTCATCTTGGGTCTCTGCTGTCTTCTCACTGACTGGCTTAACGAGGCACGCTTCGATATTGCTGTAGGATAATGCCATGTTTCTGTGAAATGCGTTTGCTGAACGAAGATTGCTGAATGAAATGCTAGAAGGTCCTTCATGCACAGTTTAAATACTTTTTAGGGCGCCAGATTTTTATTAATTTCACTTAAGGTATAAAAATAGATGTTAGAATACAAGGAAATCTCACGGATTGGCGTTAGGAGTTCCTTTGGATGAAGCAATTTTCAATAAGCAAAGGAAAGCAAGCCAGTGTCGAACGCAAGACACACAGACGGGAAAGTACCGAAATGTAGTCGCGCCGGTAGTTAGGCAATCGATACTATGAGTGAAGCTCGCCTGAACTACGCAGGCCAACCCTGGCCAACACACCAACATTGATGAGAAATATAGCAGAAGTAAATGGCCCCGAACGATGAGTAAAAACCAAACCAACACAATATAAATCAAGGGATCTAAAAATTGATTCTTGGTACCAGCAAAGCACAGCCTGAAATTCAGCTGAAATATGTACTGAAACCTGCCAGTTATTTTAAAAAGGTATTTAGTGTGCACACAAATTGTTTAATCAGATCATTGAATCTGAAAATTTCTTAGAATGAAATTTCGAACAAAAGTCATAGTGTGAAACTGTTAATTAAACAAGCATGTTCATGTGAATGTAAGGAACTATTTCAATATTGTTCGTTCTCCGCTTCTAATTGGACTCCTAGGTTTACCAAAGTAGGATTCACATTTTCCTTGGATTGACAGAGTGCATGATGATGGGAGCGGGGCAACACTTGGGGACAACTTCAAGTATGGGTCAAGAGGATCAACTCGTGTAGGCCTAGGACCTACCTTATTTAAAATGCATTTCAAAAAGTGTCATGATGAAATAGATGACACCTTCATTGTCTTGATTAAATAATATTAAAAAAGCCTCATTTTAATCATAAGAATATTTCAAACATTTCGTAAAATCTCATTTATTGGCATTTCAGATACTTCTGATATACCCATGCGAAAAAGTACGCATGTATTGCATTATTGTAATGTAAATAAACTACGATGTATTTCCATATTATGCAGTATATTTATAACCATTCTCTTTCATTTTCATGACTATGTTTATCAAGGAAATAGAGAAGCTGCATGATGTACAGGATGTTGCGGTCTCTCGGTTTCTAAGATGGCTAATGACGGTGCCATCAATTAATTTGAACACAAATGGCAGTGAGAAATAATTTGATATTAATATAATTTATTGATTTTTGTGTATAATTATCAAGTTACGAAAAGATCATATCAATGAAAACCGAAAACACTGACTGACAGAATTCAGTTCGTAAACTGTAAGGTTTCAACGGAAGAAACACAGAAACCGTCTTGGCGTGGCCTACATAGTAAATATCCGGAGGATGGTTATTGCTTAATAACCAATACAATATTCCATTGTCCTGTATAGCTGTTCATGGTGCCAGCACACGTATGTAGCAATTTGGGAAGAAGCAATGATAACTATTTAATTTATCTAAATAACGGTAGCTTTTTGTCGCCTATACACTCGAGCTAAAAATCTGCGTTCAAAAAAGAACAGAGGCCAAATCGCAAAACTCAAAAGTAAATACACCAGTTAAAAGATCCAGCTGGTATTTGTGCAAGGAAACCAACTCCCGAATGCGATACACACATTTCAAAACCTGACTTTGACGATTTTGGCTTTTACGCATACAAATATTGTTTATGATAAGCAGTGTGAATATTTTGCTGTGACGCCAATACACCTTAGGACTAAATATTACAAATCAGATCTGATAATTGGGCAAGACTAAACAAACACCAAGTAGGATATACAATAGGCTCTTTGCATAATAAGGAAGTAAACGCGTATGGCTGTTTCCGTCAGATTATGTAATAACGTGTCATGGTAACCAATGTTATTACTATATATGACAACAAAAGTGAATGTGAAATATGTTACATGTGGTTCTTCTGTGATCTTTGAACGACGTACGAAAAAATATTTCCTCAAAGTTATTGTTTCACCGATAGATTAAACCATCGTTCAATTTGAATGTGTTGCAATATAACGACCTCCATACTATGATGACAGACGTTCTACACGAGGCCAGTGTTCTTCAAGCAGTGTAGTAATACCACGCAATCGTAGCGGATTAGTCTCGCTAGGCCTGCAGCTAGCAGACGATCGTACGAGAAGGCAATAACTACTGTTGTAAATCACTGCACTGACAAATAGCCTTTACGTTGACTACATGCTCAATATTCTCAGAGTTGAGTAAATACACATCATTCCTGGGGAACAGAAATCAAAAGCGGTATCAAGGGGGAGCCCCTATTACACACAAAAAGCTTTCACAGGGACGGCCCCCTTTACGACTGGATGATTGTGCACAATCGTGCAAACCGTTTGTTGCAATGGTCTGTGGCATAAATGGCATTCTCAAAATAGCAACAGACATGCTCAAAATAGCAACGGGTAAGGTCGTTTACAATGATTATACTAGGTACGTGTCAATGTAGTCGAGATCCACCCAATTTATTTTGTACAGCCTATTGACGAAGGAGATTTCGTGAATGCGAATGTGAAATATGTTACATGTGAAATATATTTGTTACAGAAGAATATATTTGATTTATTTACTAAATTAAAAGCAGCCAACAGGCAGAAAACATTCAAATTTGTCAAATTTTATTTATTTTTTATTTAAAAAGTATTAGCCACATGCACATCAAACCATGAAAAAGGATAACTACATCTACATTGTAATTCAAAAAATACAAACTTTGACATCATTAATCATTATCGTTATTACTAAAAATAGATAGATCGCCAAGATAGTGATGAGATTAAAACAACGATAGAAAAAAACGGGAAAGGTTAAGGGAGTGGGGAATGGAATGAAAATAAGGAAATAAAAAACAAAACCAAAAGGAAGGGGAAACAGTTGGGGGAGGGACACGAGGGGCAAGTACATTGACAAAAGCCTTCAACTCGGAGAAACACAGGTTTATTACTTCTAGCCGTGGTTTATACGGCTCTATTTCAGAATTCACACTACCCTGTGTGGCCATTTACATTGACTCGGACAGCTTCATAGTATGATTTGCTAGTGTTCTGTTAGAACAATATTTTGTGCCCACTGTTGCATTGAAACACACGCAAACTTGAATTTTCTGCAAAAGTTGGGATTCTCAGCAGATTCTAGCAATAATTCTTCATGGTTTGGACCAATCACAAACAAGAAATTTAACCAATCAGGGGAATGATCGAAGCACTAACTATTCGCAACTTGGGACCAATCAGGGACGGTAGCTTTGGAACCCTGTACTGACTAGGAGGGAATGCACATTATTCTGTCACAGCTGTTTGAGCAAGCAGGACGATTCTATCTACCCCAGCACCTGCTGAGCGTGCAGGTTAACAGGATTCCAATACATTGGATCGGTATCAGCCACTCCCTATTATGTACCTTGAAATAATATACATGAATATCATGATGTCCCTTTTTTAAAGTTCGGCTTCGTTTCCACTTTGGCTTTGTCATTAAAAGCTTTTAATGTTCCGATCAGATTACAAAAAAAATCACTTGCTTCATATCATACAGTTCGATATTTCTGTAAGAAAACATTAAGTAATGTTGAGCTGGAATCTTCAAGTTAGTAATCCAATTAGCAGGCGAATCCGAGAGGACGCCGAGTTTTGGAATACACCTAGGTAACCATCGTCAGATTCAAAATAAGCAAGTTCGCGCTCGTACGATCCGAGTGCACAGGGCCTACTTGATGCACAAAGTCGTCGTTGAATATCAATTTTTTTATGCAAGTAAGGAATATTAATTGTCAACCCATTTCTTAAATTTTTTAATAAGCATGGCAAGTAAATAAAAATATTAAACCCGGAAATACCCGGGCGATATCCAAAATTCTCGACGAAAAACGGGAGGCATTTCTCCCGTTTTAGTCACGTGCCGTGGCGGTTACCTGACCTTAGATTCATCAGCAATAGTCAGAAACTTTTGGTCTGGGAGTCAGACTAGTCTTGGCCGAGGCGTTGGATAGTCTATGCAATAGACTAGCCAACGCCTCTATAATATCTATGATATGCAAGCAGATTCGGCGATTAATTGTATAATTATGCAAAACAAGACTGCATCTTGACCTCAAGATATATTCTGACCATTCAGCGGGCGCCTTCTATCGGGTCTTCCGTAACCTGTTGCTATATTACAAAAACATGGCATAAAATTTACCAATCCACAGCTTAGTCCACATTTCTGATCGAAATGACGTCACAGCCTCTCGGCGTGGGGTCGCATAAAATGTACATGCTATGATGTATCAGACGTCCAGTTGAGGCTTTGCCCACGTGAATGTCTGATCCTCCGACCATGCGTCGGCTAGCTTTTATCACCGATTCCCTCTTTTAAGGGGTGGGGTGACAAAATCGCAGAGCTGACATACCGTTTGCATGCTATTCGTCAGTTTGTCGGATCATGGAGCTATTAAACACAGTGTTTAATAGCTCCATGGTCGGATCGTGCGCGCACGCGCGCGCAATCTGACAAACTGACAAATAACATTCGTTGGTACTTTGAACGCATACCTTAGATTAGCTGGTTACCAGCGCAATTCCGTATTCTTAACTCTGTCATATCATGGATTTGACTGTCAGTAGCCGTGTCACGCACACAGCCCTGTTTAACCTCAGTTTCTCGTCCCGAGGTCAAGCACGCATGGCCCAAAAGCGTACGCGAGATTTTACGAGATTTATTCGAGACTACAGAAAAACAAAAAAAGTGCCTCGATACATGCACTGTTTGGCCAAGATGGCTAAATAAGTGAAAAGTTGAAATCGTGTGCTTTATTTTGATAACAAAAATAACTGCTTTTGACAAATATAAAGTGTTGTTATGGCCTGTCAAACAAAATCATATTTTTTATCAACAAAATCGAGCGCAGATAGTTTAAAGGTGTACATTCGATTCTTAAAACAGGCCGAAGCAAATGGCAAGGATTAGTAGATAGAGGAAAGTATACGCTTCATTTTCATGTGAAACACGTGCAGGAGACTTCTAATGTTTGGTCCAAATCGCCGGTTGAAAAATGAAGACTTTTGCGAGATTTAATGATTTGCAATCGCAATGTACACGTGTAAACCGTACGCTGACGTACGTTAGCCTGAAAACATTGTGAACAGTACGCGCTATTCGCGCAATGAAAGACATGAATATTATGCATCCGTTCAAGACCGCAGTAAGAAAATGCGCGCAAATGCTATCCAAAAACGTTCTAATAGTAATGT